ACAAAATTCAACGTCCAAAAATAGGGGGCAAACATCACCAAAAATTGCTTTGATCAAGCATGAATTTCGATGCTTATTTAAGTTGGAAACTACCAAAATAAAATTTGGAATCATATGAACTCTGATTTCAAGAAACTTATAGACAAACTGGTCATCTTTGAATGATAAACAAAATGAGACTGAAATCAATCAATCCCGAGCCCAAATAGGTCCAAATCTGGGGCTCGATCCATATTTGGATGGTTCAAAGCATTATTTGGATGACCAAAATGATATCCAAATATAACATACTTATAATCAAATTTAGCAGCTCAGTGAGACAAATCCATCAAGCCTAATATCATAGATTTTTGGCATTACTAAGACATCCAAATACCGAGAAAGTGGTTAATGATCAAGGGAATCAACATCGATCATCCATAAAAACCACTCCCAAAATACCCTTTATTTTCCTCCTATTTATAGGACGCCTCACTCTTAGAAATCTATAAATAGACCCCTTACTTCTCATGAAGGGGGACTCCAAGCAAGAGGGAAAGAGAGAGATCAGAGATCATTCTTACCTCCTTGCTCCTCCTCAACCATCACCAAGATTTTTGCTGGATCACCACCTAATGTTGGAGTTCTACTGGATCACCACTTAACACCGAAGTTCTAACAGACCACCACCGATCCAAGACTTCTGCTTGACAACTGCCCAATGACGAAATTTTCCCAGACCACCATCTAATCCTAGAGTTCCGTTGGACCACTTCCTGACACTAGAGTTCTGCCGGACAATCACATTATGCCGGAGTTCTATCAAACCACTGCCTGACACCAGAGTTCTGTCGAACCATTATTTAAAGCTAGACTTCCTTTGAATTATCACCTTACACCACCCATCCACTAGGATATCAACTGATGCCTATAGTTTTGTAGGACCACTACCTGACGTTAAAGTTCTATTGGACCACCACCTGATGTCTGGAGTTCCCCCAGGCCACCACCAGATGTCCAAAGTTTTTCCATACCATAAAATGATGCTCATAAATTCAATAGATCACCACTTGATGCTTAGAGTTCTACAAGACCATGACCTGATGCCCAGAGTTCTGCCAGACCACCACATTTAACCCAGAGTTCCTCTGGGACACCACCTGATGCCCTCCATTCTTTAAGACCACCACCTGATGCTTGAAGTTATACAAGACCACCATTTAACACTCCGAGTTCTATCATACTAACACATGTTATCGGAGTTCTGTCAGCCACCATCTAATGCCCAGAGTTCCACCGGGCTACCACCTAACACCCAGAGTTCCACTAGGCTACCACCTATCACCCAGAGTTCCACTTGATCACCACACGATGCCTGGAGTTCCACCGAACCACCACCTGAAGCCTAGAGTTCCACTGGACCTCTACTTGATGCCCGGGCTCTCACTCGACCACCACCTTATAGTAACAGCCTTTTTGACCCCTACCTCCTAATGAATACAATCCTTCTGACCTCATCCCCTATTACGGTCCTTTTAACCTCTACCGCTAAACAATAGTCTTTCTGACCCCTGTCTCATATCGACTACAATCGTTCTGAGTTCTTTCACCTACTATGATCCTTCTGACCTCCATCACCATATAATGAACTTTTGACCCATGTCTCCTGTCGACTAGGGTCCTTCTAACCCTGTTGCCTATTATGGTCCTTTATACCTCCTCTGCTAGATCACGATCTTTCTTGTTGAATCTTAATTAGGTTATTTAACCTAAGCTAATGTTGTAAGGCTAACCAAAAGGGGAGTGAATTGGTAATTTTAAAAATTACTCTTGGATTTTAAAATTGAAAACCTTTAAATATTCATAGCAAGTTCATTAATAATATTTGAAAATAAAATTTTCAACCGCTAAATAAAAACTTGTAGTAAATAAAATATGGAAATTTAAATGACACAAAGATTTATAGTGGTTCGATCAAACAAGACCTACATCCACTCCCTGAAGACTCCCTCTTCAGGTATTGCACTATTAATAAAAGTGTCTATCCTTTTGCTCCCACAGCAAGGCAGAGAAGCCTTTAGAAAACTCTCTTCCACCAATCCCTAGTGTGGCAGAGAATCGGTGTCCTTTAACACTCTCCAAGTGTCTGTAGAGAACTGTAGTCTGTTCACACCCTCCAAGGGTCGGCAGAGAATCTTCATCTGTTCGCACTCTCTAAGTGTCATTAGAGAACCATCGTCTGTTCACACTCTCCAAGAGTCGGTAGAGAATTATCATCTTTTTAAACTCTCCAAGTGTTGACAAAGAATTGTCGACTTTTCACACTCTCCAAGTGTCAACAGAGAACTGAATCTTCTTCAAAGATCTTCTCACGAGCAATCTAGAAAGATAAAAGGAGGAGTGAAAAACACAAATCACATAGAGATCCTTACCTTTGAGTAACCTTGTGAACCCTTCACACTCTACTTACAAAAATCTCTCTCAAACACTCTCTCACACTCTCTCTTTTAATTGCCCTAGAAAAATCATGAAGACAAGACTTTTTCATGTCAGTTTTAGTGGACCTTTTATACTCAAGACATGAAAAGTCATACAGAAAACTACAAATTTCAATTTAGAGCATACACGATCGTACAATATGATCGGATTTTGTACGTATGAATAATTTAAAAGCTATTGCGTGCAAACCTATTATGAATCAATATAAAATTATTTCATACCAATCATCATCCGATACAAACCAAGTTCATCTGGGATAAATAGTTAGAAAATTTTCAAATTTTATCTATACGAAAAGGAGCCCCAATGTTTCATATTATGGATGGCATACATATGATGACATCATTGTCCTGTATGATCAGTTATAAAAATTTCAAGTTTGTAGGGATGAAAGGTTGGGACAAAAATGGACCTCACAATTTCGTACTCTGAAATGCATATACGAACTATGTTAGTACAATATGATCCATACTTAGAGAAATTATTTTTACTTGACTTGGAACTCATCCATTTTGTACTCTGGAAGGCATGTATAAATGGTGTTCATACAACATGATCCATACATATAAAAAATCTTTTTACGTATTCAAGAACCCTTCCATTTCATACTCTGGAAGGCATATACGAACTATGTTTGTACATTATGATCCATACTTAGAAAATTAATCTTAAGTGACCAGAAACTTGTCCATTTCATACTCATGAAGGCATGTATGAACTATGTTCATATAGTATAATTTATACTTAGAAAAATTTTCATTTTTATTCATTTGACTGCTCGTCAGGGAAAATAACTGAACAAATCATCTCGTATGAAGTCAATTTATACAATACGATTAGTTTCAAAAATTCAAGCTTTTATCTCTCCCCCTGTGTATGTGTGCACAGTTAGTCAATTACAATCACACTCTCTCAGACTCAATAAAATGTAAAATACAGACTTCATATACGATAAACTTTTAAACTAATCTGATTTAAAGTCTTCAACAATCTGGACTATGATTTCTCTGAAATGTTAGTACACACAAACAACAAAGCAGTGCATCCAAAATATGTTAGGAGAAATAATAATTAAAATAATAATATTTAGAATCATAAAAAAAAACATGTTGCAAGAATATCAACAATAAAGAACTAAGTTGCAACAATCTCAATAATCTCTCCTTTTTTTATGATAGAAAAATAAGTATTGTTTGAAATAAAATTGAATATCCTAAATTTCTTCTTAACTCCTCTAAATGAATAAACATGTGAATATAAGAGAATTCTTTTAAGAACAAATTATTTTTTTTTTATTTTTAAATTTTAAAACACACAAAAATAAAACAAGAACAAAACACAAAATAACATTAACACAACAACCAAAACAATACTAACACGCCAAAAATAATCAAAAGCAAATGATATTTTTCTCCCTTTTGATAACAACAAAAAGGGAAGAAGAACAGTTTGAAATGAAAGAAGTTATATGAGAAACCTTAGAAATTTATCTTGAAAGAGATTGAAGTATAATTACAATGACAAAGTTAATGTTCATTAGTTGAAAAAGAAAGATTCAAAAACATTTAAATTAAGGTATAACATAGACAAGAAAAGTTAACCAAAGTCATGAAGCATTCTAGATAATTTAGATAAAGAGAATTATTTCAAAAGCGACGAAATGAAAATTGGATAATTTTAATTTTTAATATAAAATATAATTAAAAATTAGGTTAATTTAAGTTTGAATATTAAATGATAGAGGAAAGAATATTATCAATATGCGATATTGCGAATCTTTTCAAATATTTTTTGGCACACTTTGTGCATCTTTTAGTATTTGGGCTAATTTTGTGCCTCTTTTTAATTTGTGAACTATTGCACATTCTTCTAATTTTTATACACATTGTACATTTCCCTCTTTTTTTTAACTAATCTTTCCAAAATTAATAATGTAAAAAATCAAATTTATCTAATTACAAGAATAATTATATTAAAAAGAAAAATAAAAAATTGTAAGACATCAAAATTTCAATAATAATATTGTGAATTATGATTGCCTAAAAAGAATATAAGATTGATTTCCTTAACTTGATCAAGTTATAAATAAACTTAAATTTTTTGAAAAATTAGATTTCATAATGAAATTAAATTTTGTATTATTGTTTAATTTATAACACATTTTAGATCAATTAAGATAGGATTAACATATAGGTAAACTAACATTTCAAATAAGAAGCAAAATCAACTAAACAAAACAAGACAATTTTTATTGATATCAATATAAAGATCTAATACAATAAAAGCATAACTGATATCAATATTATATATCTCAATAAAAGATAACATAACAAAAAAATTATCAAAGAACTAAAAATAAGATAAGTGCTCAAAATATCAAAAAACATCACAAAGATAAACTCATCTCAAATGACTGACAAAGTCGGCACACAAGAAGTACATCTAAAAATCTAAGGGACCTTGGTTTTTTTTTTTTTTTTTTAAGAAAAGCTAAAAAGCTTTATTAATGAGAAGAAAACAGATTACTTTCTATAATTATCTGACTCCTCTTCTAAAAGAGTAATGAAGGAAGGAGGGATATCACTCAAAGTAACATTATTCCAAATAAAAGAGCTAAAGCAAGCAAAGTTAGCACAAAGATTGGCTAACTTATTGCTTCCCCTATCTACACATTTAAAAACTACAAAATCAAAATCTTTAATAAAAGAGAGGTCAATCGAATCATTACCACCTTTCTTCACCATCTCCTTGATGAAATTGATCACATTCATGTTGTCCCCTTCAATGATAAGGCCTTTGTAGTGTAGCATCCATTCTTTAATCACAAGTTTAATAGCAAGGATGACTTGAAGCTCTACTACTACAGCATCCCAGTGAGTAAGAGGCTTTCCGAAATCCAACAAAAACCTTCCATAGTGATCTCTAAACACTCCACCGATACTAGCCTTGTATGAATTGTGAAAAGCAGCATCTATGTTTACTTTAATCCAATCAGATGGAGGAGAAAGCCAAGAGTTCAGTAACCTCGGTGGTTGATTAGCACCCTCAATACCTGAATTTAAGTAGATTAAAGACTTTAAAACTGCCGAACTACAAACTGCATAAGAAGCAGTCATCACCGAACTGTAATTTCTCCCTTCATGAACATATATATTCCTTGATTTACAGGAATGATATATTGCGTTACAAAATGAACTATTCATCCAGGAGTTTTTGAGTCCAGCCATAAGAAACAAGCTTCCAAAGAGTTAAATTCTGGAATGCCAAATCTCCATTTGTTTAAAACAGTCATCACCTAATTAGTTTCCTGCATCCAAATATGATATGCTCAATGTGCTCAACTTCATCACACCCTCTAGGACACTTATCATACCTTTGCCATCTCCTATAATAGAGAAAATGATAAGTAGGTTTTGTATTTTTGATCAGCCTCCACCAGAACAATTTGACTCTCAGACTTAACTTTATTTTATTAAACCGAGACCAAACAAAATCCTCTATTTTTTTAGTTTCCATAGCTTCAACTACAAGAGCTGTAACGGTTTTACCTGAGAGATTATACATAAGCTCTAAACTATCTTCACCATTTCGTATATCAATAGAGGTGATAAGATTAATTAAATCATTCTCAAAGAACTCTTTCAGCTTGAAAGTAACCCAAACTCCATCTTTTAAGAAATTATCCACCGTTAAGCTGCTGCCTTCCATGGGGTTGACAAAAGTAGGCCAGTTCTAAAAGCTTTCATCCAAAACCCATATATCTTCAAAAACATCGATCGTTTTTCCATTTCCAACTGTCCACCTGACAATAGGTTTCAAGTATTCGCTCCCATTGCAGATCAATTTCCAAGAAACTAATCCAATTCTCCTAGTTGATTCCCCTAAAAAATTCTCCCGTATTTAAGAAACAAAAACTTATGCATAAGGGACTCTTTCTCTTGAATATATCTCCAAGCTAACTTGGCCATCAACGGCCCAGCTTTATTTGAACAAGAATTGATGCCAAGACCACCCCATTTTCTCAGTTTGCATATAAGGTTCCAACGAATAGAGTGAAGGCCTGCATTACCATCACATTTATTCCAAATGAATTTTCTGCATAGTTTATCAATTTCATACAACACTTGTTTGGGAACTAAAGAAATGGTAGAATGAAAAGTTGGGTAAGATAATAAAATAGATTTTACCAAAGAAATCCTCCCAGCCAGAGAGATAAGCTTACCACCCTAAACTCCAAGCATACTCATTATTTTATAAATGAGAAATTGGTAGTCAGCTTTAAAAAATCTCCTAAGCATCACCTTGATTCCCAGATAACTGAATTCTTTAACCTCTCTAAATTTCATTGCTTTACAAATTTTCTTCCTTCTTATAGTCTTCACAGATAATCCAAAAATTTTTGCAAATTCATCTTTTGACCTGTCCATCCACAGAAGTCTAAAAGAATCTCTTTGACAATCTTGACCGACTTAAATTGAGCATTTGAGAAAATAATAATGTCATCAGCATACAAAAGATGAGAAACTTTAGGCCCATTAGAAGAAACACCAACCCCTATAGATCTCCCTCTCTGAAAGAAGGCGTTGGAAAGAAGTTGAGCACATATCACAAATACAAAAGGGGAAAGAGGGCATCCTTACCGGAATCCACTCTTGGCTTCAATCCACTTTGAGTATGAGCCATTAATAAGAAGAGAAAACTTAGATCCCGTGACACATTCAACTATAAAATTAGCATATCTGACAGGAAATTTAAAATAATCAAAAACTTTAATCAACGTCTGCCAACCCATGGAGTCATAAGCTTGCTTCGTATTAATTTTAAAGGCAACCATCCCATTGGAAGATTTGGAATGTCTAAATTTATGAAAAATTTATTGTGCCACTAGAACATGATCCGAGAGGGATCCACCTTTCATAAAGGCCACTTGTTCCACCGAAATAATTATGGGAATCACCAACAAAAGTCTGTTGAGAAGCATTTTAGCCACTATATTATAGACCAAATTACATAAACTAATGGGTCTATAATCTGAGAGAGAAACAGGAGTTTTGACTTTAGGAATCAAAACTATATTAGTAGCTTTCCAACTTTCATTCATCTTTCCACACATGAAAAAATGTTCCACGGCTTTCCAAAGATCAAGTTTGATGATATTCCAATAATGCTTTAAAAAAGAGTTAGACATACCATCTTGACCCGGGGAAAAGTTCTTCCCTAGCTTCTTGATCACTTACTCCAATTCTTCAACTGAAAATTCCTTGTTCAGAATTCTTTTATATTCATCATTCAAAGTAGTTAGAGAATTAGGCCATCCCTCCAGATCACAATTTTTCCCAACCCATTTGTTGTTGAAATACTAAAACAGCACATCCTCAACTTCTTTTTTATCTTAAACCATCACACCTTGTTCATTCTTGATTTTCAGAATGAAGTTAGCATTTCTCCTTGCACTAGCATAAGTTTGGAAGAATTTAGAATTTGTATCTCCATCCACCATCCACTTAACTTTTGCTCGCTGTTTCCACCAAGTTTCAAGTGTAGCCATTACAGAATTGGGCTTTTCCATTTTTTCTTTTAGGATCCAATGTACTTCTTCCAGAATGAACCCGTCCTCAGCTTCCAATTCCTGTAGCCTCATAACTTCTGATATTAGATCTTCTTTAGACAAATTCAGAGCCTTGAAGGGACCTTGGTCTTTAGGAGGCTGGTTGAAGACAAAAAAATAGCTATTTATTATAGCTACGTTAGTGTTCAAAGATTTGAATTGTTTTTTAATCCAGCCCATGTCTTATTGGTACTGAGCATCCTGTCAATATAAATGAGCCTGAATTTGATCAAAGCTCTGATCAAAATGACTCTCTAGTCGGTCAAAGAGCTACACCATCTCCTAAAAATTAGGTCCATGAGCAGGCGCAGGTGCAGGTGCTGGAGCTCCCCCTTTTTCCTTAGAATCCTTACTTGCATTTCCATCTTTTCCAAAAAGTGCTTAAAACGAAGCATCAGTAAAGTAGATTGGCAATTCAAGTTATGGGTCAGGATAAACCATATTATACTTATTCTTTAAAATATAGGTCACAAAATGTCCTAAGATAATATTCTTTTTCCTCCTATGAGATACATAACCAATTTTAGAAAGTCCGCGAATATAATTAATAATAAGTTTGGCTTCTTCAATTGGTTGTCCAGTCATGATAAGATAAGTAATAGTGGACAAAAGAGGATTAATATTAATACGGTCACCAGCTTTAGGAATTATAAAAGTTCTAAGGACATATTGAATGAACCTTGTATTTTGGTTTAAAGAATTGACCCTAGGAAAATGACTTACTTGCTCATTCTCTCAAAGAACTTTGTTTATTTTGCACCAGTTAAAATCAAATTTTGAAGTCATTGTGTGGGCTCTAACTCCTTAAGTTCTTAAATATAAAATGGTTCCCAAATCTTCCTTTGTGATTTCTACCTTTTTCTTAAAAATATAAGATCTAATCCTACTTTCATCCGAACTAAAAGACATGTTTGCCGAAAAATAGTGAAAGTATCTTTGTTGTAGGCATGAATCAAAGTCAGGATAAAGGAAAATTGAGTGGTGGCGAAAAGAGGCATCACTTGAAAGTAAATATCCTCTTGAAGTAGGATTGTAGAAGGAGTAATTTTGACAAAGACAAACCTAAGGAAATAATCCTCATTTGCCCTAGATAGAAAGTTATCATCTCCACTCCTGGAATATGATCCCTTAGAAAGTCTATCCTGCATGCTAGAACTGGCCATTTCTAAGTTGAGAAAGATTAGAAGAGGCTATTGAAGTGAATGAAACTGAATTTTAAATCCCTCCTATTTAAAGAAAAAATATCTTTAATATGTATGAAAAAAGGTTTCGTATTATACGATTGATGGTTCATACATAACGAGATGAATTTCATATGTACAAATGAATACATCCAAAATGAAATGTTGTTTTATAATCATGCAAGTTATGAAGCATCCTTTCATACAGGTTTTTTGACCAAACAATCATATAGACGAACAGGTGTTCGTTCGGGATGATTGGTTATTTAAGATCATTTTAAAGATGGTTAGGTTCATCCTCCACACCGAATGACACATGGTTTGTATGTAAGAACTAAAAGTTCATACGTACGATCGATTATAATACCTGATTCTGCAAGTATAACCATCTACATGTGTACAGACGAAGTAATGCAAATCATCTGGGATGATATAAATATCATACAGTATGATATGTATTGGAAAATTAAAACTTTACACAGTCAGTTCAAAATAACGATCGATATGCCACATAATTTGTATAGGATGAAAATAATTTCTTGCAGTAGAAATGGAACACTTAGAAAACCATCACGATCATTCAGACATAAGAATTTTGATGTGTCAATAACATGTCTAAAACACAAAAATATAAAAAGGAAAAATAGAAACAAACACACAAAAACAAAACAACAATAATGACATTGAAAAAAAAAAAAAAAAAAACACACAAAAACACATACCAAGTTTACAGAAAATTTTTTAATTAAGCATTAAGATCGATCACACCTAGCCTTGTTCTTAATGTGCTAAAAGTATCAAAGGCTAGTGATTTTATAAAAAGATCTGCAAGTTGATTTTCAGTAGAAACATGATTCAATTCAATCTCTCATTCAGATATATAATCCGTTATGAAATGATGTCTTATGTCTATATATTTAGTTCTAGAATGTTGAATAAGATTTTTTGAAATACAAATGGTACTAGTGTTATCACAATAAATTTGAATTATGACTATTATAAATCCTAAATAAATCAACTATTATTTCAATTAAAGAACTTGTGAAACATAACTTCCTAAGGTAATGTATTCAGCTTCAATAGTATATAGGGCTATGGAATTATATTTTTTACTAGACCAAGAAACTAAAGAATTTCTAATAAATTGATTAATTCTAGAGTACTCTTTCGATCAACCCTATAACCTATAAAGTTTGAATTTGAATATTCAATAATTTCAAATAAAGAGCTGTACTTAGGATACCAAATTCCTAAGTTCTGAGTTCCCAAGAGATATCTCAAAATCCTTTTTACTGCTGCTAAATGTGATTCTTTTGGATTTGATTGAAATCTTACACACAAATAAATACTAAACATAATATCAGGTATGCTAGTAGTCATATAAAGTAAAGATCCAATAATTCCTCTAAATTTCTTTTGATCAACAAATTTTCCCTTTGGGTCCTCATCCAATTAAACTAAGGAACTCATAGGTGTACTAACAGGTTTAGCATTATCCATTTCATACTTCTTGAGAATGTCCTTAACATACTTTGACTGACTAAAAAATGTCCCTTCCCTAATTTTCTTAATACTAAAACCTAGAAAGTAACTTAAATCACCCATTAGGATCTTCTCAAATTCACTACTCATTATTTTAGAAAACTCATCACAAATATTTTTATTTATAGATCTAAAGATGATATCATCAACATAAATTTGTACAATAAGTATGTCATCTCTCAATTTCCTCAAAAAGTGTGTGGTATCCACACTTCCTTTTTCAAAAGATCTATCAAGTAAGAAAGTGCTCAACCTCTCATACTACGCCCTTGGAGCCTGTTTCAATCCATATAATGTCTTATTCAATTTAAAAAATATGATTTGAGAATTTTGAATTTTTAAAACCTGAAGGTTATTCAACATAAATATCCTTTTAA